TGGGGTTAAATCGTGCACTCTCCTTGTACTAATAAATCTTATTCTGCAGGTGACATTGACACATGAAAAAAATACGATCCCTCGTATAATTTCCTTGCTTTATACGATGGTTGTGTTCTCAGGATGACGTCATTTCCGATCAATAAATGTACTCTCACTCCTGTTCACAGTCATTGATTGTCTAGAAGTATTCCTGCTATCGTGATGTCACAATACAGATGCGAGTAATTGGCAGGTGCTCTGGTGTGTTTGCACCTAGTTTCTGATCTGACGCCTATCTTCCTTATCTCTTTTCCTTCTCTTTTCTTTTTGTTACTGTCCTTTAACACCTCCAATTTCTGGCACTTGTATGATGTAATTATGTTGTCTGCGACTCTATACACTTACTAAAAAATCAATTACGTAAAAATACGAAACGCTCGTTTTGCATGCCGTAGACTCCACCAAAACGGGGCGAAAACTGTTCTTTGCATTCAAACGAGGCGTAATAATGAGTTCTATCAAAGACAGACAGTCCAGTTCATGTAAACACTGAATTCTTATTCGCTTCCATAGAATTACAATGTTCTATCTGCTCAGTACCTAGTTTTGGGGAATTTAACCTCACAAGTTTTGAGTTTCACAACATATCAAGCTTTTCCGAATGCAATTCTTTGAATATTATCTTAAAGACTCCGAATAGTTTTACGATTTTGATAGAGTAAATAGAAAATTCGATCTCTTAACTCATGGTTTTAGCAACTCAAAACGACCAAAAATAGCATATTATAGAACTTTGTAATGCTAAGGTAGCGTTTATTGCCAGGTCTTTGTTTACATTTTTTGGCTTTGCTTGGTTCGTAGCAAGAAATAAATGTTATGGAACCCGTGGTGAGATCGTTTGGCATTTTACATGATTCAAAGACTCAATTGCATCAAATTATCTAGTGTATCATGCAATTATTGTATCCCTCTAGGCCTGAGTTGGCTCTTCACAAGCAATGTCAAAAGAGCCAACTTCTGAATGATCTAAATTGAATGATGGGGATGTAAAAAATCACAATTACGCATTTTTGTACATTCCCAGATTATAATGACCATCCGTGCAAACGCCCCTGTTTGGATGGAGAATCTCCAATGACGTGTGACTTCGACTTCCTGGTTGAACATTACCACACCCTCACCAAAGCCTGTTATGAGTAAGTCTTCTTCTTCTTCTTCTTCTTCTTCTTCTCCTCCTCCTCCTCCTCCTCCTCCTCCTCCTCCTCCTCCTCCTTCTTCTTCTTCTTCTTCTTCTTCTTCTTCTTCTTCTTCTTCTTCTTCTTCTTTTTCTTCTTCTTTTTTTTTTCTTCAGCAACAGTTACAAAGCTTCTTCAGCTGCCTTCTCAAATATCCATCATCTGCCTACCACGACCAACCATGTGGGTGATTGGCGGACGCTCTGGTGCGGTTTGCTCTATCACCCTCATTTCTCCTCCTTTTTGGGGGGGTATATTTCTAGCAGCACCTCTAGTCTTCAGCACTAAAATGACCTTTTTGAGTTGCAAGAGCCACAAACATTCGACGTATTGAAACTAAAACTATGTTCTCTTTACGTTATGAAAATGCTTGGTGTCATGGGCGTGGGTGGATATGCGGTCACGCCAGTGGCGTCGCATGAACGGGACGTGAGTTCCATCCCCGGTTGGGTAGGCTGTTTTGAAATGAGTATCTCCTATCTGCCCCCCGGGATGTTCTTGTATCTCTCTCAATCTGGTTTGGCCCTGTCCCCAACCATTCAATCCATCCATCTGACATAACGACGTGCATAATATAATAACAATCACAAATAAAGAGAGAGAGAGAGAGCTCAAACAGCAGGGTAAAAAATAATGTTCCTATATTCTAATGATTTGGTACTGAATATTAGATTCTAGTTGGGTCACAAATCACCTTCAGTACAGAGTCTTAAATTAAGCTTGTACGAGAGATAATAAAACACATTTATTCTTCAATGTTATGCAAGGGCATTGAGAACAAAATACTGTCATTTTATGCATATTCATAGTTGTCATCGGTATAGAATGACCAGTGTTATTAACATCAATAAAAGTAAAACATGTATTATCACATGTACAGAAACAACCCTCCCCCCCCCAGAAAAAACCCAAAACAGATTGACATTTTCTTTATGAAAAGTTCTCTCCCATCAAGGTGCTGCTATAAAGTTGATCAGATTTGTATATCAAATATGTCCATTGTAGAACATAAAAATATTATTGAGTTGTTGTGAGAAACCACAGGAAAGAAAAAGTATTCACGGAACTTAGACTGTAATTATCACCATCATCGTAATCATCGTCATTATTATCATCATCAGTTTCATCAGCCGTGGCAGCACATGCGCATAATAAACTCTATTAAACAAGTGAGTAGTTTGCTTTAAAAAAGTAGAAAGAAAGGCAAGAAACGAAAGACGCATTGAGGTATCAAGTAAGGGTAAACTACGGAGTAAGCATATATACAAATAAGTCATTGACACTGCCCTAATGGGAAGGACGGAGCTGGTAAAACGAAACCAACATATCAACATCAGGTTTCAGATTGGTCAGTGGCAGACTCAAAGCGCCACGCTCGGTGATCCTTAGTTTGTTCCTCTGCTTCGTCAGCAACCTTGTCAGTGCACTGAATCCGCTTTCTACTAGATAGGAGGTGGGAAAAGCGATGAACGACAACTTGATCTTTTCCCACTAGGATGGATATTTGTCTTGCACAACAATTTTCAACCAGAATGACAGGTACGACTTTTTGAACAATGGTTCGATTTCAAAGTCCCTTTTCATTGTCAGAAGCTCTTCTTCAAATTAATTGCCACTGTCAAGTCACCATCTGTTCCAGTGTTGAGTGGGTCCAGTATCCAGTCTGCAATTTCCAGTTAAAATATATCATTAAACTTTGTCTTCATATCAGCATCCAAATCTCTGGGGTGGTTGGTATATATTTCTAGTTCCTCGTCAGAAACGCACCCTTCTTTCCGTGTCTCCGTCAAGCTAGGAAACTGAGCAAATTCTCTTCTGCCAATGTATCGGTGGAATATTTCAAATTTCGACAAGAATGACGAAAGCATGGATTTTGCCTTGATAGGGTTGTTGTCATCCCCCTGCAGCTGAAAGTTGAACTGGTTGAACTTTGTGAAAAGATCTGTGAGGAACGAAATGTTGTTCTTGTGTTCTTTCAGTTTATTGCAGAGATCACTGTCTGTTTCTAAGAAAAAAACACCAGCACAGAGTCAAACAGGCACAACAATGACCGTGTTAAACAGTTTACTTTTGAGAGCCACTACTGGACTTCAGTGTGCGAAAGTAAGCCTTGAAAGTCCTCGTAATTTTCAGTGCACAGCTGTTGGAATAATCACGAGTTCAAAGCGTGGACTTTGACATTGTTCACACACTTGATGACACTGACGAGTGCGTCATCCAGACTTTCATTTTTTTTTGGGCCACCTAATTCTGTCTCTGAATGACACAGTAAACAGTAAGTACTCCAGGGACTGATTTCAAGAAGCTCATAAATCCACGGTACCACCCTCTCATCAACGTACCCCATTTGTTTCACAGGCAACTATATTGGTCAGCGGGATCTGTTTCTCCTAGAAAAATTCTTGGACCACTTTGAAAATGGAATTTTTGTTGAAAAATAGAGGGTACCATAAATATGAAAATGAAGCACAGTCAAGATATCAGAATGTGGACCAACAGGCACCTAGGCAATAAACAGACGTGCGTGGATTTCACAGTCTGAGGAATGTTCGAAAATAGAGAACGCTCTAACATTTTGTCAGTTAATGTCAAGGAGTTAGAGACTATGGTTTAAAATATTGGACTATAGTACTGGGGCACTGTTCGTAAAAAGACTCTATCTTTGTAAAAACAATTCTTTCCATAAAGAAAAATTGTTAATACAGTGAAAATTTGAAGAGAACACTGTGTCAAGTGTTGGCAATTATTCGTCTGAGTTCAAGTGTTTTATCTCAAAGAGTGCTGAAGATAAAAGAGAGAACAGAGCGATTGATGTTTGGTAGGAAAGAAGGATTAAACCATACTAGAACACCCACAAACCATCCGCTTCCACATCTTTGACAGAAAGTTTCCCCAAAATAAAATAAAAAATGTTACCAGCGAGTAACAAACAGTACAAAAATGAGGAGATACAAGGGCGATAATTGAATCCAATCTATGATTATTTGAAAAAACTAAGTAAAATGTCTAAACAAAAGTGCCTCAAGTGTTGACAAAGGGGATAGACGTTGCAATAGATGTCTTTTCATTTATGTGGCTCAGCTTTCAGTGACAATCTGACAATTATACGGAGTCCATCATCAAGGTAAAATATCTCTGGTGTCCAGTGTTTAGGGGCGGAGGTGGGGGTGGGGATGGGGGTTGGGAAAAGGATCATTCTTGACTAAGATATGGTGACTCTGGTTTGAACCCTAGCTAGGCGCCCCTGAACCGGAGTTTCGAGGCCATTTTATTTCAGGAAGTTTCAACAC